GCGCATTAGCTCCGCCCACTGCTGAGAAACCGGCATATCTTCTGCTTGTTCTTAAAAGCTGAATAATTCTAAATGAACTCTGTTATTTTGACAGGAAAATACAACAAAGAATATGGTTTACATGTAGCGCGTCGATTCAGCGTGGTATGCAAGACTCTCGCTCTCTCTCTTTTGCATGTGTGAGAAACACAGCGCTATCAGTAAAGCGACGGCGAGTCGTGTGCCTTCCCACTAGTTTACGGTACGTCAAATACAGGTGTGCTGCGTGCTACATACTGCGCATCCATTTAGTACATGACATGATCTATTGAGCGCATCCAAATAGTACAGATCGCTTGACGGAGAGCGAAACTCTCAAGCGCTCAGTCAGCGTGTTTATCGAGTGAAAATCTGTGTTGAACGTCTCTCACACACATCATACTGGCGAGTAAAATCTAAGAATTTATTAGCCAATGGCTAATGTTAGACATTATTTAGTCGCCCAGAGTAAGATTTAGTCGCATATGCGAGTGATCTACTGTAATTTAATGTAGTGATTTAATGTAGAGGGTTGCTGCCAAAGAGATGTGCTGCTGTAACTGCTGTAAAAGGTGGATTTACCAAATATTACAGTTAAAAACCGTACGACTCGCTTCATCTGATGTTTGTTGTGCTCAGAGCAACCATCTGCATGTTTCATGAACATTATGAAATCAAATCATGTTTTGGAGTAGGGCTGCACGATAAATCGCATGCGATATTTAACGCGCATCTTGTCAGAAAGCCGGTTCTGTAATCAGCGGTAAATAAATCGCGCAAATATGTGAAAGCACGCAGGTGATGGAGATTTACCGCTGATTAAAGAACCGGCTTTACTGATAAGATGCGCGTTAAATATCGCATGCGATTTATCGTGCAGCCCTATTTTGGAGGCAAAAAAAGGTCAATATTTTCAGATCTGTCAGGTGTTCTAATAACTTTTGGCCACCACTCTATATGACTGAAATCCAATCATACTTACTAATAAATAAATAGATAAAGTCACATGAAATATGATTTTTACAAATCTGCACAAACTACATTCATATTCACATCAGACATTGTTTGTAAACATGCAGAATGTGTTTGTCAGTAAAGGTAGTGCAGTGAGCGTGAGAATGCTGAGAGCGGCGAGAGATGCTACAGAAACACCTCCTGCTGTGACTGTGCTGCTGATACTGCTGTTTTCAGCACAACGTCACTGCAGCAGATATATTCAGTGTCATGAGAGAGCACACACCAGTCAAACTATTAGATCAGATCCCAATCAGACAGAGATTTGGGCTGAAGGTGTGCACGCTCAAGACATCACAGCCCATCACAATACGCTTCAGAGATAATAGGCGTTTCCCACAGCTTTCACATTTCCCATCATGCAGTGAAACCGGAGAAGGGTTGTTTGGGAAACTGAACTCTTCAGGTGTGGTCTGGATCGGACAGCGTTTGTGAACGCACATTCACAACAACAGGTACACATGGACATCAGGGCTGGCTAAACAAATAAAATACTGATTTCGAGATAAATCGATTCTAATTTTTACACAAAAATATTGACTCTTAAATCCCAAGAATAGATTAGTCTAGCCTTTTTTTCAGTTTATGAACAGAACATCAAAACGCACATCCCATCCAATAAATATCAATAAGCTTTGTGCTTTGTTACTTTTGAAATGAAACCGTCTCAGATTTCAAATTCTGTCCATTGTATCACAATATTCAAACAATAAATGGCGTTTCAGCACTGTTTAATGCGAGTGACAGATCGCTGTAGTGCCTCAGTTTAAGAGAAGCGCACATGAACTTATCTCCTCTCCTTTAATACGTTTCAGCACAATGTAAGTGCACAGTTAGTTTCAAAAGATGTCTGTATAGCAGCTTGTAAGCAATACAGTATGTCAGGTAACGTCACATTTACCTCAGGAAAAACTGCTGACCAAAAACTCATTAGTCAGCTAGAAAAACTTACTCTAGAGAGGAGCATTTAGCTAAATAGCTACATGCACCATATAACATATTCATTATCATTTTTACTGTGCTTCAATATTTGTTTGAATAGCTTTTATGACAGCAACCATTTAAATTTCAAAATCTAATTGGAAAAGAAATATTATAATAATGTAGTACCAACTGACTCTTAGTTGAGAGATTTTTTTTTCCTTGAGAAAATTTGGCATGTATTGTACCTGATAGGTATAGGTATATATATATATATATATATATATATATAAACAAAATTGAATCGAAATCGAATTGAATCGCAAGCTTGTGAATCAGAATCAAATCGTGACATCTGGTGATTGATTCCCCACAATCCTCCTAACAGACGAGATCAAGAGAGCCAGCTCTGCTCAGTTTCTCAAGCTTTCTCGTGTGCCTGACCCCTGCTGATCGTCGCTTGCGGCTACATTTGTTTTTATGGTTGTTTTCTCAGACTTCAGAGAGCCCTCCAGTGTCAGATGGAGCTGAGAGACCTCTATTAATCACAGACACATCAACACTCGCAGCGTTCCCAGCCTGGACCCTTCGGAGAGCACGCTCCGTTGTGTTGTGCTGGGCAGAGATTTCAGAAAACACCGAGTGTGCATGAGACGGCTTGGGATGAGACCTGGCCCCAGAAGAGCACAAACGACGACTTCCCCTCGGAGCAGGAACATTTCACAAAACCCCTGGGAAATAAACTCATCTGCCTTTCCTAGAACAAGTGAGTGTTTCAAGGACACACGTGACTCCGTGAACGCAGAGCCCTGACCTTTCTGGACGGCGGGGCTGTTCTGGACACTGGTGGCCTTGGAGGAGGGTTTGGACGAGTCTCCATCCGAGTCCTTGCTCATGTCCACTGAGACCACCACATCCCTCATCGCTGAAGAATCATCTGCAGGAACAAACGGGAAGTTCAGCACCGCTTGCAGGTCAAGGCAAACTCAAATTTAGCACGAACGGCAAGTCTGCTTAATGACCAACAGAAAACGAGCTCATTACATGGACAATTTCCTCCAGCCACCACGCATGTCCATCTCAATGTTTTACAGGCTTTAAAGGGTTAAAATGCTTTGTTCCCATGAGAGGGTAAAGCAGAGCCAGTATTCTACTGTAGTTTGTTAGCTAGTGAACGGTGATGCCTTCATGATAAATCAACAGCACTGAGAAGCATTCGTCAGATTACACGTATTGTTTAAAGGAGACTGGTTGATGTAGTGGTTCTGTGTACAGTACTGTACCTTGGCCTTGAATGTGAGAGATATCGAGTCCCTCTCGCAGTCTGAGAATGACCACACCGTACTGAAAATCAAACGCGTCGCTACATACACACACACACATAAACAAGCGTTAATGTCTCACAGGATGAAGACCCACACCATTTACTTCAAAGCTGCTTTCCCCCGTTTGCTCATAAACATCTACCAGACGCTCTTCAGCTGTACATACACTAGAAACGCATACACGTCATGCCAAAAACTGCATCAAAATCAATGCCAGAACACATTATATGCATGTTCAAATAACACTTTTAGGGTTAGAATAGCTTGTCATGGAGTGGTCCGCACTAGATCATATACACACAGATCTCTGACTGTAACTCTAGTTTTCTGACAGATAACACTGATTTCTGATTAACGTTTACTCATCTGGAATCTCACGTTGCATGGCTGATGACCAGATGTCAAACAAACCACTTCATCACTGTATAAAAGCTGCTGCCTCACTAATTCAATAAGGTTTGTATTAATAGCGGACTGATTTCAAACAGAAGATGAAACCCACTGCATCAGGTTTATGTAGGTCTCAACGTCCTTTATATCTCCAATGCGCCAGTCGTTCTTGAAGCCGAGCACCAGCGTGTTGGGCCTCAATCTGCCCAAACCAGCAGCCTGTGAAACACACTGGAATTACTTCCATAGGCAAAAACAACTCTCATGACAAACCCTAACCTTAAACCTTATGGAAAGTGCTTTGCATTTTTTTAAATAAAACATTTGGTATGTTTATGTTCTGAATTACAGCGACAAGTTAGCATGTCCAATAATGCAGAGAAAGCAGGTTTTCCAATTTTGGCCCCATATTGTAGATCATATCAGCACACACACACACACACACAGAAGTAAATATTTCCAAATGGGTTATAACACAGAATTCAGCTGTGAGCAGGAAGCCAAGAAATCAAAGGACAGAAAAGCCCAATTTTAGGCTGATTGGTGCAAAGGAGCCTTTGGCCAATGGAAACATTCAACCCTGTGAAGATTGATCTGCAGATTAGGTGAGACAGTTTTTGTGTGGAAATAAAACCATGTTCAAATCAACCAGTGAGCAAGATCCCATAAACACTTACTGAACAGATCTGAGGGCTATAAACACACACCTGCAGCAGGTACTGGGTTCCTTGGCGAAGGTCTTCAGCCACCACAGGAGTGTAAAACGCCTTGGAGCTGTTGTTGAGGAGCCACCTTTGGTAGCGCAGCATATCACTGTTCAGCTCTTTAAAGTTGGGCCGCCGGGAACTCTGGGAAGGAACACACGTGTGTGCAGACATCAGCTCACGTTAAAGAGCATGGTCCACACAGACGGGTTCATTCTACACACTGTGATCACCGTCCACACAGAGCTGCTTTATTCCAACAACATGTTCCCATGAGGAAACCATTCAAACAGGGACTGCACAACACACACACACACTCACGGCGCGCACGTGGCCACACAGCATCAGACCCACGTTCTTGGTGAAGGCGTGCACCAGATGAAGAAGAGCTGGACGAGAGTTTGGAGCTCCAGTCATCACCAGACACTGTGGCCTAGAGGAGACGACACCGTCAGAGCATCCCACACCACATTCTCATGACCTCCAGGGTCAGCGGTCCAGTCCAGAGCACTGCTCCAGCTCAGATTAGACAGCTTCAAAGCAAAAACGTTAAGAATAAAAGCGGATTATGCAGAGGGCGAAGCGTGCTGTCAGAAACGCAGAAATCAGCGCTTGCTCTGCTCTCAACATGAGATTCATCAGTGTCACCACAGAAGACCTCACACTGAAGATCAAAGTCCTCACAGTAAATCCACAGCGCTAATAATCAAGCTGTTCTCTTTACCCTCATTCAATTCCATTCCGATGATTTATGCATTGTCTTCATTTTGCACATTTTGACTACATACAAAACCCTGACAAAAACACTTCTTGTATTACAATCAATGGCAAAGATTTTCAAGATGATCATTCAAAGGTTTGGAGAAAAACTAATACTTTTATTCATCAAGCATGCATTAAACTGATCAAAAGTGAAGGCAAAGACATTTATACGGTTTAAAAAGATTTCTATTTCAAATAAATGCTGTTCTTTTGAACTTCCTATTCATCTGTGAATCCTGAAAAATTAAATGTATCACACACAAACATGCAAAAAAAAAACAATCAGCACAACTGATATTTTACAGTGTTAAATATCAGTTCTTTTAAAGGGTTAGTTCACCCAAAAATGAAAATTAGCCTGTGTTTTACTCACCCTCGAAGCATTCTAGGTGTAAATGACTTTCTTCTTTCTTCAGACGAATCCAGTCGGAGTTATATTAAAAATGGTCCTGGCTCTTCAAGTGTTAGAATGAGAGTAGGTGGGTGTTTTTGTTCAACAGTCCAAAAGACGTCAAATAAAGTCAAATAAATCCATAATAAACCATGCCTCACACGGCTCTGGGGGGTGAATAAAGGCCTCCTGTAGCGAATCCATGCGCTTGTGTAAGAAAAATATCCATATTTCAAACATTATAAACGCTTTTTTCTCACTTCTGGTATCTGTCATAAGCGGAAGGCGTTCCGGTGGATGACGGAGGACGTATGCTCAGTGCGCGCCTCTGAGATATGCTGGTCTCGTGAGTTTGTTTACAGGAGCAAAGGAGGCAAAGTGTCCTTACTTTAGCAGGAAAACCAGTCTCCTCTTGGCTTGTATCGAACTCCTCCGGCAATCTTCTTTACAAATCCTTGGTTTGTACTTCTAATTCACCGGAACGGCTTGCACATACGACAGTCAGCAGAAGTGAGAGAAAAGTATTTATAACATTTTAAATATGGATATTTTTCTTACACAAGCGCATGGATTCGCTACAGGTGGCCTTTATTCACCCCCCAGAGCCGTGTGAGGCATGGTTTATTATGGATACGCACGCTTTATTTGACATCTTTTGGACTGTTGAACAAAAACACCCACCTACTCTCATTCTAACGCTTGAAGAGCCAGGACCATTTTTAATATAACTCCGACTGGATTCGTCTGAAAGAAGAAAGTCATTTACACCTAGAATGCCTCTCACACACTCATACGCACGTTTGTTTCTGTGAATTGTGGGGACTTTCCATAGACTTCTATTGTTTTTATACTGACCAAACCATATTTTCTATCCCCTAACCCTACCCCTTACAGAAAACATGTTTGCATTCTTACATGTTCAGATAAACATCATTTACTATTAAAAAAAATTTTTTTTCCCCTCGTAGGGACTGCAGGCTGGACCCACAATGTCAAAAATTTCAGGTTTTACTATCCTTGTGGAGACATTTGATCACATACACACACACTCACACACACTAGTGTTGCACGATATACCGGCACTAAAAAGTATTGCGATACCCTGCTTTTAAAAACGGTACGATTCCGCATTTTACTAGTAACGGTACTTTAAGAATGCATTTTAATAAGATCCGTATTTCCCGAGTAAAACACTGGGATGAATAGATTAAAAGTAGCCTAGGTCAGTACACCTAAATCAAAGCGCGATGGACTAGTGTCTGTGAACATTAAGCTGTAAAATACTAACACAGGATTCGTTTACTACACATGAAACACGCATGACGCTCACGGTGTTTTCAGCCTCTGCCGCCTCAATACATGAACATGACCTCTAGAACTGCTCTGAGTCACTTCATGAGCATTTCTACCGTTTCTTTTCAGCATATACAAACAAACTAAAAGCTCTTCGCAGCAACCTATCAAAATAAAAGTTTAACTTGACAGAAATATATTACTTAATGTAATGATAGTACTACTACTACTAATAACAATATTATTAAAACAATATTTAAGGAGTATTTACCAGAAAAATTATTTAACAGAAAACTGTAAATACACAACACAGTATTTCTGAAAAACGAAATAAATAGACTATAATAAATTCTTTATAAAATCTAATTATCCTTTATAAATTAATTAGATATGCTTTTGATTATTAAAATGTAATGAAACGATTCAAATGGAATCCAGACAATTAATGGAAAACACGGATTCACAGAAAAATAAAACTGAATTTGAGAACAATAATAAAACGTATTTCATAGGGCCTTAAAAATGAAATTTTTGTTAAACTTTTAATAAATTGCTGTTAAATTGTGCAATTAATTAGACATGCTTTTTGATTAATATTTTTAAATGTAACCATTAAAATAGATTCTAGAAAAATTCAAGAAATGAAACCGATTTCATAGGGCCCTTATTTATTTCATTTGTGTCTTTGTTTTATTGTATGTGTCCTTTAGTTTGTTATTTGCATCTGTTTTTTTAATTAATAACAAAGATAAAATAACAAAAATAACTATATCATGATATACATGTTATGTTGTTGTGAAATAAAATGACTATATAATGAAAAAGATTTGGCTTTATCCTTCTAGCTAACTTACGAATGTAGCAACGCTCTCTACACACCTGTAGGCTCACCATAGTCCTGTGTAGTGACACTGGCATGTGATTATTATTATTATATTTTTTTGAAGGGGGATGAAATGCTTTTTTTTTAATAGATAAAATAACTGTGATCTCCACTTGGATAATCTATTACTCTATGATTTTTCCTGTTGTTCTATGTTTTTGTCGTAGTATCGTGATGTTTTAGTCAGGTATCGTATCGAAGCCAATTCTGGTATCATGACAACACCCACACACACGCACTCACTCACTCACTCACACACATTCACTCATTCACACACATTCACTCACTCTCACACACACACACTCACACACACACACTCACACACACACACTCACACACACACACTCACACACACACACTCACACACACACACTCACACACACACACTCACACACACACACTCACACACTCACACTCACACACTCACTCTCTCTCTCTCTCTCACACGTACACACACTCTCTCGCACACACACTCACACACTCTCTCTCTCTCACACACATTCACTCACTCTCACACACACACACACACACACACTCAAACACACACATACACACTCAAACACACACATACACACTCAACTCACACACACACACACACACACACACACACTCACACACATGGAGGCTGTGTTACCTGTAGGTTTTGATGTGGTCAGCTACTCCGCACAGCTGCAGACTGTGTGTCAGGGCCTGATGATACGTCAGAGCTTGAGTGGACGAGCCCCAGTTCACATCTGTAAGACCACAACAATCCGATGAAGCACTGCTGCTGCACTGAAGAACAACTGATGCTGTGTCTCACGGTCCAGTCCGGTTCACCTGGTTTCTTGTAGCTGACGTAGATGTAGAGGGACAGGACGATGACGTTGGTCAGGAGGGCCGCCCACCAGTTGATGATGAACATGACCACACAACACAGGATGGCCCCGGCCAGAGACACCCACATGTTGTAGTACTTGAAGCTCGGCCTCCATCCTGACAAACACGGAGCAAACACTCAGAGACTCCAGTCAAACAGCAGGGCATCCGCTGCAGTACTACGGCTGAGCATTTGGCAACATAGAAGAAGGTCAAAATACCCTAATTACACCCCACAACGGGAGCCACGTATTGGAACGGAGCAACTAAACAGTTGGGATAAAACCAACAATGGTTCTTTGTGGTAGGAAAGTGCTAACTGTGCCGTTCTGCCACGTTACGCAACAGTGTGGGACACAAAGAACGGGACGCCACCGCACAGAATCAGAGCGTCCAGAATCTGCTCAAGACATTTCATACCAGACTGTTAATGGTGTCACAGCCTTAACAACAGTTTGCACAGCTGAAATGAGTCAGTTTCACAAAAGCATGAACACAGAATTGATTAAATGAAGTTAGCACCAGTTAGCACACATACGGGCTGTTACCACCACTAGGGAGGCTTCTTGAACACAGGACATGTACTAGACTAATGGGATTTAGTGGACTCACGGTTACAGACACGACATGACATAAAGGGTACAGAAGCGCTTTAAACGAGCCACATCCGAGAGTGAGAGCTACACGTACCCTTTACGTTCATGCAATCGTGTGCAGAGACTCTACCTAATAAAGTGTCAGAAGTGAAGATATCTACCTGCTGGTCTTCTAGAGCTTTGGTATTGAGGGACAAACAAACCTCTTCACACAAAGAATAAAGAAACATGTAAAACTTCAAAAACAAGAAATGCAGTCAATAACATGATGTCATTCAGACATGAAAAGACTTTCATTTGAATAAAAAAGGTCTGATTAACACAGTTAATCACTGATCTACACTCTCCTTGTATCGGAACTGTTATTTCGCAAAGTTTGGTAAACACTGTAAAGGCCCCGATATACTTCAGGAGAAGTCACAGAACGAACCGGTGTGACGTCATTTCAAACGAAATCAGGCCAAAACAAAGTTCATTCTGTGAGCTTCAAGTGAACTCGAACAAAGTGAACAGACACGAGCTGCTTTACAGGACAAACTGAAGCAGTAACTGACACTGACACTGTATTCACTACTGTGAAGCCATCTGCTGTGTGAAGTGCGTTACTAATAAACGTGACGCAACTGCGGTGCTGAATTGCAGATCTAGTGGAAACATCTCATCGATCAGACGTGTTCTGAACTGCTGCTTTCTCACTGCTGTCGTGTCTGCGGTTTTTGTTGAGAGCTAAGCGCACAGCAAATATTTACACATTCATCTAAAGCCATGGCGTGTTCATTAATAGTATATCGCTGCAAAGGTATTTCAAATGTCTTCAAACTATGAAAAAGAACGTGGCTATGAGTATATCAGGGCCTCAAGATGTCCACCGAGCATGATGGGAAGCCACTGCATTCTCTCCATTTTCATACAAATTGTGGTGATGACTGCATATACCCAGCTCAACCATTCTAGCCTGCTGCTAAAGTTATGGTTAACTGTGTGACACGGTCACGTCAGTCCTAAACTAGCTAGCCTCTACAGAGTATATCAAGGACTTCATTCATGTGCTCATTTAATATTTACTGCCACAGACATAACCTTATAATTTAGCAAGAGGGTTTCAAATTTGTGCCAATATAAATGGAAAAACAGTTCCCATCAGCATTTCTGAAGGTTAAGCACCTGATTTCACTGAACCTCCAATGAACCAATGGTCAGTTTCAAAGCCCCTTCTTTACCAGCACACTCTCTCAGCGTGAAGTCATCAGGTGCGTGCGAGGCTGAGGGCTGGGGTGTTACACACCATCCTGACACTAATGATATTTGAGCGCTCGTCTGTGGAGACGTGACCCAGCTTGTCTACAGAGTCAATACAGCACAAGTGGAGGAACGTCTTACCGGGGGAATTGGCCAGCGATGCGTGAAACACCGAGAAGTTGATGAGAGCGTACGATGCCAGGAAGAAATTGGAAATGATCGGGGCGATGATGTTCAACTCCGCTGGAGAAATTAAAAACAAGCATGTGTCAGAGCGAGGTGACCTCATCAACCCATCCCATCGTTTTATTCAACAACAATTTCTACCAATTAAAAATAATGCAATTTGTCGAGATCCTACCAATGAGAATGAAGGCCAAGGCAATGCCAAAGGTGAGGAAATATCCTCGCAGGGGCTCGTTGTTCTTGCCGTAGCCCTTCCCGAAAACCGCAATTCCAGGGTAGATATTATCTTTGCATAAGGCCTGAGGAAACGGGAGAGAATCTATCAAACCAGCAAGACCTGTTCTGACGTCACTGAGCGAAACCACACATGTTAAAACACACAGCGGTCTCTGACATGAAGCAGCGCATGAGATGCCCACCTGGAAGACTTTGGGGGCGCTGACGAGAGAGGCCAGGGCCGAGGAGAGGGTCGCGGAGAAGATGCCGGCTGTGATGAGGGGCCCGAAGCCTGACACCACACTCATGACCTGCAGAACAAGACATTCAGACACACAACCACAGCCTTTCTCTGCCAATCCTGATGCGTCCCGTCTGTAATGCTGCTAGTATTATTATTTATTTTTATTGCCATGTCAGCATCTAAGGCTATTTTCATGGCAAAACTTACAAATTAAGTTGTAATTAATTTGTAATTGTAACTGTATTTTAAGTTGTAAAATACAAATCAAGCAAACACAAAAATACAGCAGTTAAAATTATACAAGGATTTTTTAAATTAACATAAAAATCAAATTTTTGTAAAAAATCTTTTCTGGTAAAATCTTACTAAATAACAGAGTTTCTGCAGGATTTTTAAGCTCAAATCTAAGACTTTAAGACTTGCTCAAATAAAATGAATACCATATGAGCGGGGTAAGGCAGTGTCTATAGTAACATTAAACTCTAAAATGACTGTAAAAAGCATGATTTACAGTTCAGATACAAGTTTTCACAAAAACAAAAACTTTTAATTAAACAAAAGTATTCATTATTACATTAATTTAAACAATTATCAATACATTATTATATTAATTAACAAATACATTTTACCGTTTAGATTTTTTATAATGCATGATCTTTTTATTGATCCACCAGTTCACATTTACAGCACTGCATGGGTCGATTTTTGCATTGGTCTGAACAAAAACAACAGGCTCACTGAAAATTAAGCCATATTGCAATTCTGGTCTTTCCGTCCCCCAATTTTTTTTATTATTTTTTTCCCTCCCCAAAGACTTCTTGAAATCATAATTAAGACTTTCTTGTACAATTTAAGACTTTTTATGGCCTTAAATTTGATACAACTAAATTTAAGACTTTTTAAGGACTCGCAGGAACCCTGAACAAGTCCCCGAGTGAGCATACTTCATAAAAAAAAGTTTTCTACCTGCATTAAAACCAATACATTCCAATAAAATGTTTCATTTGGCCAGAGTCTCTGCTGTGTGCCAAGTGGAAGAGTTTTTGCGTTATGCCTTAAAATGATGCTCAGGACGCTCACTAGGATTTGGAACAGAGTGATAATGTAGAAAAGGCCACGTCTGCTGTCGATGATGTACCTGGAAATCATTGTAAAGGCCGAACTTGCAGGCAGACTTCCCTCCTTCAACAGGTCTGCAGGAAGTGAAGTCATAGCCGAACTTACAGGCCGCGTCAGTGCAGTTTAAGCCACTGAGAGTTACGTTACTCTCCATTCCTGTAGCATCCCGCACGATGCAAGCACCTTTCAACAAATCAATCAATACATAATACAAATCAATCAATAATACAGGAGTAATCAAAATGATATGCAATTTTGAGAGAGTTTACCTGCAGAAATGGCCACACCTATGTACACGAGGCCCGTTATGAGGATAGCCAACAGCGTTCCTTTAGGGATGGCCATTTGAGGATCCTTCGAGAAAAGAAACAATTACAGAGAATCTTTGCAGAGACTGTGACGAAGAGTAACTAAATGCGTTGAGGAAAGGATTGCCGACACTCACTGCTAGATCTCCTGAGATGTTGGCTCCAGCCAAAATGCCTGTGGCAGCTGGGAAGAAGATGGAAAAAACGGAGAAAAACGTCTCCCCTCGAAAGTCTGGGCCAAAGTTATCTGCCAAGATGCCCGCTAAAAAGACAAGATGTCCGATAATTACAGTAGTTAGATAATAGAAACACAACAGGAATGAATAAAGAGAAAACAACTACCAAATTTCAAACTCAGAACTCAAGTCACACAAAAACATTCCCAGTGGCCTTGGACTATCCTGAACTATTGTTCTTAACTGGTTTTCCCTAAAGACTCAAGTTTTCATTTGGACATCAAGCGGCGATCAAGTGACATTGTTAAAGTAAAAAAAACTATGTATATTATACCAAGAAAAACTAAACCTTTTAAATGTTTTAAGGTTTCATTCTTGCCAGTGAGTAATTCACAGCACAAAACACTGTGCTCAGCACAAACCATGTTTATCAAACACAGTAGAGTTTGATTTGACGCACACCCTTTTACATTAAAAAAAAAAAAAACCTTCATAGCAGTTTATCATGTACATACAGCTTTGTTTTCTTTCTGATGCCCACCGGTTGATAAGTGCTGGTCTAGATGAGCTCATTCTTACCGTCATAGCTGAAGAAGCCAAATTTCTCCTTGGACTCGACAGGGATGAAGGTCCCAATGAAGTAGTTAAAGATAGCAGTGACCAAAATGAACAAGAGGAATATTTGAGCCTGTGAAACAAAATCATTTTGACAAATGGTGAATTCCTAAGGTCAGCACTGGCTGATGATCAAAGAAAACTGAAGATACACTAAATCTCCTGCCTTGGCCTCCCACTCCATTCCAGCCACTGAGACGCCAAGCAGCAGGATGACCGTAATGGTTCCAATGATCCTGACGTCATTAATCTCATCGAGCATGAGCGCACCGGAATTCTAAACGGACACAAACCCATATGATTATTCGGCCTACACACAATAATTTTAAAGCAAACTGAACAATGCATGAGAGAACAGAATTGCGCCTCTTACAATGAGCAGCTCAACTACAGTTTCTGCAAAGCCCACGACGTACATGGCCACGGCCACAGCGTTGGCAAAGGCAAAAATCAGACCAATGGAGCCGCCAAACTCTGGGCCCAAACTTCGAGATATTAAGTAATACGCCCCACCTGAAGAAAAGATATTAAACAGATCACCTTTCTGAAAAGACAATTCGAGGCCGATTTATCAGTTATCCTGTTGCATCATTAAGAGACCCTTTAAAATATTCTGAAAATCGCACAATCATGATTTCATGAACAGGTGCACACAAACACTTGGACAAATTCAAGTTCATTGCTAGGACCCACATGTCTTTTGAAAAGGAAAGGTGGCCATACATGCATTTAGTGTTGTCAAAAGACCCGGTACTTCGGTACCAAGTCGGTACTAAAAAAATGAAAAAGTTACGGTACCAGGTTTTTTTAAGTACCGGTGGTACCGAGTACCCGGTCAACCCGGTTCTTGATGCGCTATCCGAAAGCTATCCTCTTCCAGTGTTGCCAAGTCCGCGGTTTTCCCGCGGAATTAGGCTGCTTTAACACTGTTGCCGCGGGTTGTTTTTCATGTCCGCAGGTTGAAAACGACCCCATTAACGTGATATTTAGCCCCTGGAATGCGAATTTTACCAGGGGAACCCCGTGGTACCGAATACTGAAATTTTGGTACCGTGACAACACTACATGCATTGCTTACTCACACATTCGATTATGTTATTTCGGTATTTTATCCAAGAGCAGTTCATCATTTGGCAACTTTGGCCTCATTCTGCGGATGCAAGATTCTAAACAAATGCTACACAGTCTTTCACTGAACTCAAATCATTAACTGATTCTGGTCCTGCCCTTGTGTTTGTTCTTCATGTTAACTGCATTTTGAGAGCTTTCTGAATAAACGGTTGAATCATTCAGGCTAATTTGTCTATTGGCAAGCGGGAGTAAAAAGTAGAGCAGTGTGTGTTGTGGATATAGCAGTGGTAGTCCAATCCATCGTGTGTCTCAATGATATATCCCAGTGATACAGTGAGAAGAGGAATGGGCCCAGCACCGAACCCTGAGGTACCCCTGTGGATAAGATCATAACGGGTCAAGTTACCAATAACAAAGAAGTACTCTCAGTTATGCTGAAACATCCTCCCATATTCAAGCCTAGTCTAAAGATTTTCCTAATAATCAGGGGTGAGAAAAGTGCACAGACCGAGTACAGATCGACTTGAGGGAGTGTTTAAAGCTAGATCTTATTTATGCAAGTGTGTATGTATTAATAAATGACTGGAATACCAGAGAAGATTAGGCCTAATCTGATTAACGGCTACACACCTACAGTGTGCTACAGTGACGGGAAGAATTAGCACAAACACGCATCAATCTTGCATGCAATGCTGAAAAACAAAATATGTAAAGTAGTGAATGTAATGTTCTGATGAGTGTGAGAAAGCAGTTCTCTAAACTAAAAAGAGTTGCAGTGATGGCTAAATATCATTGAGGATCTCAAACAAACCCAATCCTACACACACACACCCTCCCGTGACTGGGTTAATAACTAACGCCTGAGGTGCTAATGGAAAAATATTGATTTGCTTCCACACTGAAACAAAAACTTTATCTCTAGTGCCATCACCCTGCTCTCAGATGAAGGCCTGTAGAGAGGGACAGCTATCCATTTCTGCCTTCCAGACTGCCAACGAACCTCACAATTGCCTGAGAGAAAAACACTGAGATCTTAAAACACTCTATTGAATTTCCCCACAGGCTGTGAGAACTGAAAGCATTACGCCGAGTACCTTACTGCCCCTTCATCCGCCGTTAGTGTAGTGCTAGAACAGTTAGATGCGTCACACTCATGCACTCAGATAGGAGTTCAAAAAGACTATGCCACCAAAAATGAGAAAAACTCATGTGAAGACCTCAGGAACAATACCGCTACCCTATAGGGTTCATAAAACGAGAGTCTGTATGTAAACAAAGTTAACCACATGCAAGTAATGACTAAGTAACAATAATTGATGCCACCAAAATCTCTTTTGGGAATCTGTCCATTTTCTCCTCTTTCCTCATCATGGGTGCATTTCTAGCCTGTCCTCTGCTGTGTTTTCAACCTCTACAACTCGTTGGTGTAGTAAATATCCACATTTGATTGAGGAAATAAAGGCTACTAAAATCATAGAAGGAAGACTTTAACTTGTCCTTTCAGTGTTCACTTGTCATTTTGTTAATACGAGCTCTTATTAAAGATCTTACTCGGGTCTACAAAGAACAAAATGACAAGGCAGCACTCAAAGGACAAGAGAAAGTCTTTTTTTCTATCATTTTTGTTATGCATTTTACATCTGCCCGTAGATGAGCTTACAATGTCAACCCTGTTGGGGTCACTTGTGTACAGTAAACAATTGGATGTTTATGGAATATCAGCATTTATCCACATTGTGTCATTTGTGTGTAACAGTTCCACAACAGGCACCCTTTGAATGTTTTTTGCACCAGTGAAAGTCACAGTTGAAATAATGCACACGGTGCTAATGCACTTTTTTTTAATTACCTCCTCGTACAAAGCCATTGGTGGCGATCGCAGAGGTCGAGCAGCCCGTGATGGTAGTCACAACAGTGGCCATAACAACAATGATGCAGGAATACGCTGTGGAAATAAAAAGGTGAAATGACAGTGAACGTTTCCACGACTCATGGTTATCAGGTTCAGCACTAAACACTAGCCGTCTGCGGCTGGCTTCACACTGTATGCAGTACATTTGTTGGAGCTGTTAAATGACAGCTGACAGCTCACAGCGCCTCACAGCCACATTCAACATGTGCATGAGAAATGACTGTAGCTCGATGGAAAACACAAGAGTGTGCTTGTGAATTGAAGTGCTAATTCACACGGCCGACCAAAGTCAAACCTACCAATTCCAGCCTGGCCCACGATCCATGTCATTCGAATGAAGAGCATCACGCCCCATATGTTTAACATGCAGCGCACCTGCACAGAGGAAGGATGCAGTTTAGACTCATGCTGACAAAAACATCAAGGACCAAAGCCGTTTCTCAAACCTCGTTCACCGGGACGATGAGTGCTGGACAGGAATCATGTGTTTGAAGGAAAGCTGCGGGCTGACGGCTATCGATGGCATGTGTGGCGTGACGTCACGTCCGTTACCACAAAAGACTTTACCAGTATAACAGCAATACTTCTACAGGACAAACAAACCTGCCCAGAGCTGCAGCCGGTTTTGCCGAAGCAGTTTATTATTTGATACAAACTATTCCAAAATAATCTTTTAGTGGCGTGACAACAGTTCCAGATGGATACACTTTTGCCTGTGTGTTATTACTGTAATTCCTGTGGGTGAGTTTACTCCATCAGCAAGCGATTCTTTTACACTAGTTCCATATGAACATGAGGTAAACATTCAATGTTTAAGTCATGTGGCGATACTGAACAGCGTATGCTGTAATGTTCACTAACTGGCCTCATGTACTTCCAGTGTAAGTGAAACTATACCTAAAACGTTTTACTGAAGGATGAGCAGAAGTTTTCTTCTGAGGTAACGGACATTACACCACACAGCCTGTCGACGGAGAACCCGGATCAGTCCTTCAAGCACATTTGAACACAAACCGGTTTCAAAGATTGACTGAATTCCTGCCGTGGTTTGAAAGACACTTTGGATGAAAATGAATTTTCACTTGTCGACACTATGAGAAGCTGTTTGGTGTCAAATGTTAAGACTGGGAAGGTGAAAATGAGGACAATTTTGAGGACAAGGAAGACCTGTCAAAATATTGACCAAGAGACGAGAAGCAGAGCTGATCTGTGAACCATAAAGCTTTTACTGGATTCACACGCGTCAGCGAGGAAGACGGTCTGTACTGAGCAAAGCCACGGCTTGTTGAGAGTATTAGCATATTAAACATTACAAGAGCACGACAGTTTAACATGCAGCCTCTAATAGGAGTCTCTACAGGCAGCAGATATAGCAAACTAATAAAAAAACAATTATCACCCACAGCAGAAAAATCTCACTCATCGCCCATGTTATATTCATTCCCATCTTGGATTTTGTGTGGGTGCCACAATTCTGAGACAAATGCCATTAACTGCTGCGCTGACGTCTGCTGAAGCATGTTTGATCTGATGTTAACTCCTCTTACCAGCACTCCTTTGATCCAGCCGAACTTCACCACTCCTTTAGACTCGGAGGCTTCTTTAGCCGCGGCCTCCTCTGCAGGGGTCAGCTCCTCGCCGTTAGCAAAGCCATCCTCAAACGGCTCCTGCAACCACAGATAAACACACGCATGAATACGTCTGAGTATGGAGTAACATGCAATGAAGAATCACTCGTGGCCAAAATGAAAACGCTTGGAAGTATAGCAATATTTGAGCACTTAGCTTCAAGTAAAAGTTGTTCTCATGTCATAGTTAAAATTTCAAATATCGTCCTTCCGGTAGATTTGCCAACCGCCATTACAAGTTAAAGACGATGCTCAAATGTGTTTAGCCGCCATTAAACCAAAAGAAGAAGAAATGTGGGAGCGTGATGCACGAGAACTAGTGAGGGCTGTTCTAGCGCATCACACGTTTGAGCTTCTGTGTTCAGTGTCTTTGATGCACACTTTTGTAACGACCACTCACTCATTAATCATTCACGTTTATCTGCCGTCAGACACAGAGATGTTGTTGCCATAATGCATTGCTATGGGTTGCGTCTTGCTTCGGATTTGAGTGACAGACTGGCATTGTGACAGCGCAAGCTTCATGCTTTCTAACCATATCTCCACTTTTTACCTTTAGGTTGCAAGTGTTCTGCTTATTGTACATATAAAATACAAAACGTTTACATCAGTAGACCCAATGTCTTTATAAAGTTTGTGCACATAAAACAGTGTATCTTGTATACACACACAGACACATGTATATTACTTTTACTGTCTGCACAAACATTGGATTGATTTTAATAGCTTTAATGTACTTGAATTGTGTATCAAACACTAGAAACATACAAGTATCTGACCAGAACTTGGTATTGGCAGATACGCAATATTCAGTGACTGTGGGCACAACAAAAACCTGATTGGGATATCCCTAATATAACCATACATGATGTACAAGTGGCTAATGCAAATGAACTGTAAACATGAAAACAGTCCTGAGCTCGAGACCGCAGCACAGTTGCTGTCCTTGTGTCTGTGAAAGGTCAAACACAGGAAGTGTCCCTCCTCCACAGAAACAAAGCCGTGACGAAGGCAGCCGGACATTACAGCTCCTGGGAAATAAACGACCGGCCTGACATCCACACAGAGACTTCACAATGACAATGTGAGGAGTTTACAACATCCTGTCCAGTGCACATAAAGCTCTGGTTTGGACTGTGGAAAAAGCAAGCAGCAGTTCGATGCGAGCGCAGGGGGCCGTCTTGACGTCTGTTAGAGGTGTTCAATGGCAGCGCTGCATGCCGAGGACAAAAGTACAGGAGAAATCTGTCAAAGATCCTGACAGAAGGATCTCTCTTCACTCCACACCAGCACATTTCTTCAGGATATTCGTTCAGCTGAAGGGCACGTGAAGCTCGTGTCCTTGACCAAATGAGTGAGTGTTGATGGGATTCATATGTGACATTGAGTGGAGTGTATTGATGGCCGGTGGCTGCAGGACATACTGTACCGTATTGGCCCGAATACAAG